TCATGATTACTTATTAAGAATAATTTATTATAAATTATAGAAATTAAAAATTGTTAGAAAGTATAAAAAAAAATTATAAGGTAAAAATTATATATATAAAAAAAATTGCATAGATAATCCCTAACATTAAATACTATAAATATTTTTTCGTTTGGTGCATTTGGAATTCTTTATCTGTTTTTTTTACAAATATAAGTAAATTTACTTTTAAAATTATGAATTTAAGTCTGATTTTAAATTAATTACTAAAAGGACTAAATCCTACTTTGTGGTTATAACTTTGTTTCCAAAAAGTCGTGAGATGCATACACGATTTTTTCAATAATATTAAAATGATTTTTTCGAAGAATAAACTTAATTAATCACAAGAATTAACTTCAATGCAAAGTTTAATATAGTTAAATGACTTCTATCACATAATTAGATTTTATTTTGAGGTTAATTTTTATGATTAATTAAGTTTAGTCTTTACAAAAATCGTCATTCAAAAAATACGATTTCAATATTATTAAGAAATTATTTATGTATTTCATGATTACTTCAAAACAAAATCATGACTATTATATACAACTTAGCTCTTTCGGTAATTAATTTAAAATCAAACCCAGATAATTTCATAACTAAATTAATCCAAATTTGTAACAAACCTTCTTTATCTCGTGATCTGGTCAATTTCCACATTAAAAATAAAAGGTTGTAATCTTATATTTTTTTTCTTTTATGGTCATCAATAATCATTCATGATTCGATTTTTAAAGGATTTTGGTCGTTTTCTTTGGACCTTATTGATACAAGCCCTACTTTCATAGACAGGCCAGTTTTCTGGGCCTATTATAGTTGTGTCGCCAAATCGGGCTAGTTTGGTGACTGAACTCAGTTTCAATTAAAACTATTGGGCTATATTGTGATAATAATTAATTTTAGACTTAATAAAGTTTTACGTATAAATTTTACTAAATATTTTTTTTATATTGAGTATTTAAATTTTTACATTTTTAGTTAATATTTTTGTTAATTAAGTAGTGTGACTGATATTTTATTTTATCATCTTATTTATTTGTTTTTTACAGACACGAAGTTTTGTAATTAAAATTAAACAATATTTAATTAATATAAAATAATAAATAATTTTATATTAATTATAAAATCTCATATCTTTTAATATGTATACACAAATATGAAATATAAAAAGACAAGTTAATAATTAGTAAGTTAGTCAACGAAAAAATTAAATCGAAGGTATTGAATTAAAAAAATATACAAATTTTGATTATTTTAATAGATAAAAAAATTAATATAGACTCAATTAATAATATCCAAATTTATTGAGGTTTAAAACTTAATTAAAAAAAACTATTTTAAAAAGAGCGATGATATAAAAGATATAGATTTTTATTTAGAAATCATATTTAAACAAAAGTTTGTAAATAGGGAAAATATTTATGCATCTTTTGCTAATTGTAACACTGTATCAGATTACAATATTTCATAGATAGTTTTTGTTGACTTTTCTACAAACTACCTTCAAAGTTGATAACCATAATTTTCTAATTAGTTTACATACAGTATAGAAATCAACCTCTATTACTTTTAATAGAAACTAATATTTACACTGTACAATATCCAAACTAAAGTCTAGTTACTTTTATGACTGGTACTACATTGACTCCATTTGTGGGTGGTCTATTTATCCAAAAGATAATTTATTTTATAATCTTATAAAAAATTGAAATTTAAAAGCTTAAATTAACTATTATGCTTAAATTTAAAAGCTTAAAATATTTATCATTGTCCTAAAATAAAATTGTTCATAGTTATTCATTCTCATTTATATTTATAAAATTAAAATCAAGAATTGGTGGATAAGTCAACTTATATAGGTCGAGTGACATTGGGTGTGAATGGGTGGGTTAACAATGATATTCAACTCATAGCTCAATGGTTGGTTTCTCAGGTGAAGCTCATCAAAGAAGAATTTGGTTATGACGATGGATTCAACTACAATAAGGAATCAGATTATGATGCGGCTTTGAGCAAGTAATCCAGTGCTCTCAATTTGATTCTTCAAAATTATGTGTCAATGTTTTTTAATTGTGGTTTAATAATACTTGAATTCCTGACATTCCTATTGAGAAAATTTACCCCTGAAATGATTAACATAAGCTTGCACTATTGAGATAAGATTTACCTGAAGTTCTGCAATAACATTTGAGATTATGCAGATACTTTCCGAATGGCATTGATGTTTACCTTGATAATGTTGGCGGTAAAATGCTTGAATCAGTTCTTAACCATGTCAACAAACATGCAAGGATACCACTTTGCGGGATGATATCTCAATATAACAAGGTGATATGAATTATGTTACTAAGCATTATTATTCATGAAAATGACATTAGAGTCATAATTGTTTAACTGAGAATGAATCTGTTGGTTTTTTAATAACTAAGAGTTGATTATGGAGCAGGTTTGGACCGAAAGAGAAGGGGTGAGAAACCTGTTGAATATGGTGGGGAAGCAGGTGAGGATGGAGGGGTTTATGCTTGAATCATATTGGAATCGTTTTGGAGATTTTGCTAAAGATATGGAAGGATACATAAAAGAGGGAAAGGTTACGTCAAAGAACAAAATAAATGTTGGAATTGAGAGCTTTTTGGATAGCTTAGCCTCTCTCTTTACCAGCTCTAATATTGGAAAAGTTGTTGTTCAACTTAATAATTAAGGAACTTTCTCTTAAACATCTACTTATGATATATAATCTCCACCACTAGATCTTTATGTCTGCCATATTTCACTGTTGTAAGACCGAATATCTGTATGTTTTTAATTTTACAATACTGCTGATTGAAAATAGTCTTTAGTCTTTAATATTNCTTCCGTTTTTGTGATACTTTTAGTTGGAGACAGATGTCTAATAACTATAATTAGAATACTTTATTAACATAAATAATTTTAAAGTAATGGTAAACTTGTTTGCTCTCTCAGTTTACTTTTTCTGACTTTAGAGGAATTTCAATTCTAAATGAATAGTAAAAATTTATTTGCAATGCTTTAAAATTGGACATTTCCTCATATCAAGTTACTCTCTTCAACATTAATTAAACTGTGTAATTACTTAAATAAAATAATTGAAATATAAATCCATTTTTTATTGATTCAATTTTCAATTAAAGTTTCCAAAAATCTGTTACTGAAAATAAATATCGGAGGACCTTTTTCTCGTACACTAATAAAAAATAAAATATAACTTATTGAAAAAAATTATCAATAAAATATATAGAAACATGACTGAAAAAACAATTTATTTCTATTAATTGCTATAATTATATAATAAAAACACTTTCCGTCTTTTATCATGATTACTTATTAAGAATAATTTATTATAAATTATAGAAATTAAAAATTGTTAGAAAGTATAAAAAAAAATTATAAGGTAAAAATTATATATATAAAAAAAATTGCATAGATAATCCCTAACATTAAATACTATAAATATTTTTTCGTTTGGTGCATTTGGAATTCTTTATCTGTTTTTTTTACAAATATAAGTAAATTTACTTTTAAAATTATGAATTTAAGTCTGATTTTAAATTAATTACTAAAAGGACTAAATCCTACTTTGTGGTTATAACTTTGTTTCCAAAAAGTCGTGAGATGCATACACGATTTTTTCAATAATATTAAAATGATTTTTTCGAAGAATAAACTTAATTAATCACAAGAATTAACTTCAATGCAAAGTTTAATATAGTTAAATGACTTCTATCACATAATTAGATTTTATTTTGAGGTTAATTTTTATGATTAATTAAGTTTAGTCTTTACAAAAATCGTCATTCAAAAAATACGATTTCAATATTATTAAGAAATTATTTATGTATTTCATGATTACTTCAAAACAAAATCATGACTATTATATACAACTTAGCTCTTTCGGTAATTAATTTAAAATCAAACCCAGATAATTTCATAACTAAATTAATCCAAATTTGTAACAAACCTTCTTTATCTCGTGATCTGGTCAATTTCCACATTAAAAATAAAAGGTTGTAATCTTATATTTTTTTTCTTTTATGGTCATCAATAATCATTCATGATTCGATTTTTAAAGGATTTTGGTCGTTTTCTTTGGACCTTATTGATACAAGCCCTACTTTCATAGACAGGCCAGTTTTCTGGGCCTATTATAGTTGTGTCGCCAAATCGGGCTAGTTTGGTGACTGAACTCAGTTTCAATTAAAACTATTGGGCTATATTGTGATAATAATTAATTTTAGACTTAATAAAGTTTTACGTATAAATTTTACTAAATATTTTTTTTATATTGAGTATTTAAATTTTTACATTTTTAGTTAATATTTTTGTTAATTAAGTAGTGTGACTGATATTTTATTTTATCATCTTATTTATTTGTTTTTTACAGACACGAAGTTTTGTAATTAAAATTAAACAATATTTAATTAATATAAAATAATAAATAATTTTATATTAATTATAAAATCTCATATCTTTTAATATGTATACACAAATATGAAATATAAAAAGACAAGTTAATAATTAGTAAGTTAGTCAACGAAAAAATTAAATCGAAGGTATTGAATTAAAAAAATATACAAATTTTGATTATTTTAATAGATAAAAAAATTAATATAGACTCAATTAATAATATCCAAATTTATTGAGGTTTAAAACTTAATTAAAAAAAACTATTTTAAAAAGAGCGATGATATAAAAGATATAGATTTTTATTTAGAAATCATATTTAAACAAAAGTTTGTAAATAGGGAAAATATTTATGCATCTTTTGCTAATTGTAACACTGTATCAGATTACAATATTTCATAGATAGTTTTTGTTGACTTTTCTACATACTACCTTCAAAGTTGATTACCATAATTTTCTAATTAGTTTACATACAGTATAGAAATCAACCTCTATTACTTTTAATAGAAATTAATATTTACACTGTACAATATCCAAACTAAAGTCTAGTTACTTTTATGACTGGTACTACATTGACTCCATTTGTGTGTGGTCTATTTATCCAAAAGATAATTTATTTTATAATCTTATAAAAAATTGAAATTTAAAAGCTTAAATTAACTATTATGCTTAAATTTAAAAGCTTAAAATATTTATCATTGTCCTAAAATAAAATTGTTCATAGTTATTCATTCTCATTTATATTTATAAAATTAAAATCAAGAATTGGTGGATAAGTCAACTTATATAGGTCGAGTGACATTGGGTGTGAATGGGTGGGTTAACAATGATATTCAACTCATAGCTCAATGGTTGGTTTCTCAGGTGAAGCTCATCAAAGAAGAATTTGGTTATGACGATGGATTCAACTACAATAAGGAATCAGATTATGATGCGGCTTTGAGCAAGTAATCCAGTGCTCTCAATTTGATTCTTCAAAATTATGTGTCAATGTTTTTTAATTGTGGTTTAATAATACTTGAATTCCTGACATTCCTATTGAGAAAATTTACCCCTGAAATGATTAACATAAGCTTGCACTATTGAGATAAGATTTACCTGAAGTTCTGCAATAACATTTGAGATTATGCAGATACTTTCCGAATGGCATTGATGTTTACCTTGATAATGTTGGCGGTAAAATGCTTGAATCAGTTCTTAACCATGTCAACAAACATGCAAGGATACCACTTTGCGGGATGATATCTCAATATAACAAGGTGATATGAATTATGTTACTAAGCATTATTATTTATGAAAATGACATTAGAGTCTTAATTGTTTAACTGAGAATGAATCTGTTGGTTTTTTAATAACTAAGAGTTGATTATGGAGCAGGTTTGGACTGAAAGAGAAGGGGTGAGAAACCTGTTGAATATGGTGGGGAAGCAGGTGAGGATGGAGGGGTTTATGCTTGAATCATATTGGAATCGTTTTGGAGATTTTGCTAAAGATATGGAAGGATACATAAAAGAGGGAAAGGTTACGTCAAAGAACAAAATAAATGTTGGAATTGAGAGCTTTTTGGATAGCTTAGCCTCTCTCTTTACCAGCTCTAATATTGGAAAAGTTGTTGTTCAACTTAATAATTAAGGAACTTTCTCTTAAACATCTACTTATGATATATAATCTCCACCACTAGATCTTTATGTCTGCCATATTTCACTGTTGTAAGACCGAATATCTGTATGTTTTTAATTTTACAATACTGCTGATTGAAAATAGTCTTTAGTCTTTAATATTTTAATAATATGCGTATTAGAAAAAAGAGTTATAAAATTCGTTTAGTGCTAAAACATAAAATGGAGAGTGAAAGAAATTGTGATTGAATTCTTTTACTAACATTTGATAAATACAAGATTCATACGTTTAACTTTGGAGTTCTTATGGGTTAGACTACCGAAAAGCAAATGCATTTTGGTGATATGAGTAGCCAAACCAATTCCTTTAAGCTATCCTTCAACTCTATAGTCTCATACCTATACAGTCTCTAGATTCCTCTCATTTCGATGTATGTTCGATTATTCCATGTGTCCCTCCTACTTGAAACCTGCCAGGAGCTACTCTTTGTTTGTGCCTCTTGCACTTCGTGCCTCTTGCACTTCGTGCCTCTTGCACTTCGTGCCTCTTGCACTTTGTGCCTCTTGCACCGGCTATCACTCCCACCCTCGTCAGTGCCCGGGTGTCACATGTCAAATCTAAAACTGGTCTAAAATAAGTTACAAGTAGTAGAATTGGATTTGGGTTCCTAAGTTGTTGATTTTGGTGTTCTAGAGTAGAATTTGAGTCTAAATCACTTTAAAATTGTAGTAGAAACGTTTAGGATCATCTAGACAAGTCTAATTAGGTGTAATACAGGAATTAGGGGTGCTAGAAGTTGATAAAATAGCCTAGAATTGGTAAAGTGTGGGTGAGTTGCATAATTTTGCAGAATTTGCGTTTTGCAGATTATGCAGACTCGTTATGTGAGTTGTCTCGCAGAGCGAGACCCTGTAGAGAGTGCTCACTGTCTGAAAAATTCGCTGTGCGAGCTGGTGCGTTGTGCGAATGGTCAGAGGGTGTTGCTCTCTGTTTGTGGATTCGCCTGGCGAATCCTGTCGCTATGCGACTGGTGGTGGTATGGAAGACTCATTTTAAATTCTGACTCATTTTGGGATGACTGTAAGCTTAACAAACTTTATTTACAATCTACTCTAACTGTTGTCTTTTATTTAAATGTGGACTTACTATGTTATATGTTTCTATATAATCTGGGATGTTACATGAAAAATTAATAAAATATTTGAATATGTTAAATGAGTTTATTTATCTAAATTTTAAAAATAAAAATAAAACATTTATTTTTTTAATTTTATATTTAACTAGACATAATAACAAGTTAAAATTAAGTTTTCACAACTAAAAATTAAACATGTCATACAATACTTAATGTGTAATGAATTTAAAATATTAC